ACTAAAATTATGATTATTTGCAAATAAAAAAAAGTGAAAATATATATATATATATAAATAAAAGGTACCGATAGATACCTGATAGAGGAAAAAAAACTACCCGATATACAGAAATATATCATGCCTGATATATAGGGATATACTATGGCCAATTTATAAAAGATATATACCCGATAAAAAAAATAAATAAAATCAGGTGCCCAATATATAAATGATGAATTTGAATAAAATATTAAAATATTAATGTCCGATATGAAACTGATATGGATCCGATAAGTGCCTGAACTTCTACATTTCAACTTCACCAATCGGGTACCTGATATATTACATAATTATTAGTATTGGACACCTATCATATACCTATTAGGCTCCCGATAGGTATACAATAGGTATCCAATATTCCCTATTTCGACCAGTATAATTGATTTGTAAAAAATATATAATTCATCAAATATTATATTATCTATTGGGATCATATAAAAAAGTGGTGGAGAAATATGTTCATTAATATTATTATAATTTTTAAAAATTTTATCTATATTTTTTCTATATATCAATTTTTGCTTAAATCTCCAATTTGATTTTTTGAATACAAGTACCATGGACAAAAATATTTTGAAATAAAACTATTTAATTCTAAACAAATAGCTAAAAATTTTCAATCAGAACTAAAGTATTAATTAAATTTTCACAAAATTTCAGTTATTTCTAACTTATCTTTTTTTAATAAATATAATTCTTCAATAAATGGATTTAATATAAATTTAAGTATATTATATTTTTCTGTACCCGGATATAAAGTAATTGTGTAATGATAATCTGAATTATGGTGATGACTTTCATAATTTAAAATCATAAATATATGCTTGATTTTTCATCCAAAATTTCTTCTATCATCTGAAATTCACAAATGTATAATTGGATTTGATAAATCTAAAATTGACTCCCTTTGCAAATATGATATGATATAATATAAAATATCTTTTATATTTTGACAAATACCTAATCCCATTGTATCTTAAACTTCTTGTACTATTTCAGAATCTGTAATATTTAATTCTTCAAATTCTATATTTTCTAAAATGTTTTTTTCTTTCATATCCACCAATGAAAGTTTGATTTTTTGATTCATATAATTGGTAATCTCAATTTGTTTATTAAAAATTATATATTCACGTGTCAAATAATAATCTGCTATTGCCAAATCTCTATATGAATCTCTTGATATTTTTCTATGATTAACTGCTTTTACTATTGATTGAATATGATTATTTTCTTCTAATTGATTTTTAGATTCATAATTTACTTGATATTCTATTTGATTAATAAAAAATTCAATTGATTTTAATGTTATCTTATCTGATGAGTAATATATTTTGTTTATATTATTTTTAAAGTTTGATTGTATATTTGTTGCAATTTCTTAGTACACTTTTCAAGTGTTGATGAAGTACAGTTAAGAGTGGGCTTAATTAGATTTCCTCTTCTTTTTGATTCTCTTTCTTTTTATACATTACTTAATTGCAACCTAACAAAAGTGGTCCAGAAATAATAGCTTTTGAACCAGGATTTAGAGTCTAGAAAAATAATTTAATTAATGTATATTATATAAAATAATAAATAATAATTATAACAAATAAATATTTACTTGCTCATAAAGTGATGTTGCATTTGATGTGAATTTATTTGAAGAAATAATATTTTGAAAATTTGATCTATATTTAATTTGAAATTGAAAAGTATAAGACTTATTATTATAATCTATTTTACAAAAAATTGTTTTTTCTTAGTTTTATGTCTCCACATTGTCTCGATGATATAATTATATAGAATTTTATAAAGTTTTACTGGACATTTGTTAGTTTTCCTTGGTGTTGAAAGTTCAAGTTGATTTGAATAAACTCTTTCTTTATAATAATATAATTAAAACTATGTCTAGTAATATTATTTATACATTCTTTATATAAAATTTTATTACTTAAGGGATAAGTTAACTCTTCTTTGATACAAAGTTTATTGATAATATTTTCTTGGTCACTATTGTATTCATTATCTGAAGCCATGAAGATAAAAAGATAAAAGTATTTTTAAAAATTTTTTTTTTTTGAAACTAAAATAATTATATGTTTATTTAAAAATATAATCGTGTTTCACGTTGTTACTAGTCAACCTTTTGAACTAATTTTATTTTTCAAAAGGTAATTTACAACTAACAACTCGTAAACAGTTACTTTAGTTTACGAATTGAAAAGGATAATAGAAGAAGAATAAAAGAAATATTAAGTTAAGTATTAAATACTAATTAAAGGACTTAAAAATTTAGGATCACGGGATTTAAATATTGATTAACAATTAAATTTTAAAGGTCGATTTAAAAAATTAAGGCAAGGACTTAAAGATATTTATTAATGTTTTATAAATAGTAACAGAAATTTATGGATCAAAATTTATATTTGAAGAATATAAATTAAAAGGATGACAAAGTTTTTAATATATAAAAGATATAAGTTTATTATGAAGAAAATCAATAATCCAATTACTTTAGGATTATAACAATATTACAATTGAGATTACTTTCTAAATTTCACTATTTAGAATTATTCGAATCTTATTTGAAACTACTTGAATTTCTCTTGGGGTGGAGAGAAAACTCACCCTTTTTATAATATTTGATTTGACCAGTAAGTTGATTAGTAAGTTGGCCAAAATCTTGGTCAGTAATTGTATCAATCAGTTGGTCACTAAGTTGGTCAATTAGTTGGCCACTAAATTAGTTAGTAAATTGGCCAGTAACTAGGTCACTATGATCTACATTATTGATTTACATAATTCATATTACTAAATAAATAATTACTAATAACTAAATATACTAAATATACTAAAATAACTATACTAATAAAATAAATACAAATAAGAAATAAAATAAAATAATAAGTAATTATAAAAGTGGAGAAAACTCATGATAATAATATTTGATATACATTTAATTATTTCAGATTATTAACAATTATTTTATTTTAAGTTTTTATATTTTAATAGTTTAATAATTAGTCAATAATTTAACCAATCATGATTTGACAGATCACAAATCATGAGTTTAAATTAATAGCACCCTAAAATTAGGATACAAATTTTCATTCCGAAAATTAGCGGATATGTATTGTAATGGAAAAATTTAAAAATTATATATATAAACATATTTGAGTTAAAAGATATAACAAAATTAAAAAATGGAAAATTAACAATGGTATTGAAAATAGATAAAAAAAGAAAATTGGTTCTTTTATAATAACTAATTTAGTAACTAACATAATATCCATTAATTCTAAAAACAATACTAGAGATCATAGAGACAAAAGACTTCTTAAAAATATTTTCTATAATGAAAAAATATTTATTTCAATTTATTCAAAATAATACTAAATGAACAGGATTATATAAAATAGATTATTGGACAAGACCTTAATATGCTAAGGGTAGCTGCTGCTATCAGGTAATAGGTTGCAAACATGTCTCTTTGTAGAATTAGTCTGAGTTCTATTTTTATAATAGTTATTAGGATAAGTTGTGTATTTTATATTAATGTAAAAGACTTTATCTTTTCTTAATTAATAAATTTGAGACAAGGTCTTGTTAAAACTTTAAAAAAAAAAAAAATTTTTAGTTATAATATATTATATGTTTTGTTTTTGTAACATTAAAATTATTAAGTTATTTATATTTTAAGTTGATATTTTTGTTAATGTTTTTATTGAAAAGAGAGAATATGTATATATTATTGGCTTTATTCTTTTATTTTTATTTTTATTTTTATTATATTATTTATTATTATATTTTATTATTTGTATTATATATATTATTTAGTATATATTATAATTATTAATATAAATCAATTAGAAATTAATATAACTATTATATATTATAACTATAAATCTTTAGTGTAATTAACAGTGTATTCTACAGTATAATTAATAGTGTAATATAATCAAAAGTGTAATAGATAGTATATATATTAGTGTAATTAATAATATATGTATTATTGTAGTCTACAGTATAATCTATTATAACTTCAAATATATATATATAAAGAACTGAATTCATTACTGGTTAAAAATTTATAAATACTATATCTATTGAATACCTAATAGGTATAAAAATAATGTTCATAGGAATACAAATTTTTAATGTAGATAATAATAATAATAATACTAATTTGAGATTATTAAATAGGGATAATAGGCTTCAACTTATTAATATTATTAGTAGGTATATATATAGTGTTATTAAATATAGTATAAATTGGGTTAGTTTATATAATATAGATTATTTAGCAGGGCCTTAACATGTTGAGGGTGATTTTTATTGTCAGGCAGTAGGTTGCAGGCATGTCTCTGTTTATCTTTGAGTAAGCATATAGAGTTAATCTGAATCTTATTTTTTAATAGTTATTAGAATAAGTTGTGTATTTTGTATTATGTAATAATAATGTAAAAGACTTTCTCTTTTTCTAATTAATAAATTTGGAGCAAGGCTTTGCTGGAACAAAAAAAAAGTATAAGAGTAATGTACATATTCATATACTAATTAGGTATCTAATAGGTATATCAGATACTTGATAAGTATAGTAAAACTTGATAAGTATATAAATATGTACATTACTCTTATACCTATTAGATACTTGATAGGTGTGATATTTATAAATTTTTAACTAGTGTATTTTCTCTCAGTCCTCAGTTCTTCAACTTACAATTAATAAACTTCTTTGTGAATTATTTCTTAGTCTTAGTAACATTTTTAAATTCTTAATGAATTTGTTTTTTTTATAATTTCTATGTGAAACTTTGTTATAATTTTTAGTAATTACTTTTGCTTTTGTGACTAGTATTTGTTATAGTTTATGTCTTAGTAACTTATATAGTATAGTTTGTCTTCATAATCGTCTTAGTGAAATATCATTTTAGTGATGTATATACTTATTAAAAATCTCATCCCTTTAGTTTCTTTCAAATAAATATGTATTAACAAAACTTTCATATTTATATTTTTTTTATAGTATAACACATCCAACAATAGTATATTTAGTATAGTTGTTTAGTTTAGCTATATATATTTCTTTGCTTTTAGTTACTACATCAGGAAATTTTTCGGGCGTAAATTTCCGTAACACAAACGGGACCCACGGAAATTTACGCCCAAAAATTCAATTT